AAAAGATTGGCATTGTTGTAAAACTCTTTTTCCAAATGAAGTTTTACAAACAATATCGTTACAAATTAATTGAATATGATGTGCAACACATCTAACAGGTAAAATCGTTGGATATTTTTCTGCAATATATTGTTTAGCAAGTGTCATAGCAGAAGCGGCATCAGATACTATAGCACCAAATTTATCAACACCAATATCTGTTAAAACCTTTTCAATTTCGTCAGCTGTAAAAATCGCAGTATGTGATTAGAAAAGTCTTTAATTGAATGTACATATTGCTTTTTATCAGATGTAATAATAATAAAAGCAAAATAAGAATAACCACGCTTATTTGTCCACCCATCTAAGACTAATAATAAATTAATATTAATTTATTATATTTAAAAGATATAATTATTAGGGAACTCACACTTATTAGGTAAATATAGCCTTCCCAGAGTTAGTTATTTGACAATTACAAGTTTTAAAGTAATTATAATATAAACTTCATACGATTGGTTATTTAGAGCTTGCAATTGTCAAATAATTAATTACTTTAAAACTTGTAATTGTTTAAATAACTAACTTTGAAAGAAGCTATATTTATCTAATAAGTATGAATCCTTTTAACTTATTATAAATCTTACCTAATGTAAGGTTACTTTTATGTTGAAGTTCTTTTTCCATAGCTACTATAACTCGTGCTGTTTCAAAATTAAGCCAATCATTACTTAAACTTTTTCGGTCAGGTGGTTTGTATGAAGTACATAAATTTTTGCAAAAATCTAAAAAAAATGGATGCTCAACGATCCAAAAGGGGATTCCACAACACACAAAAAATTTAGTTGATGCTTTGTGACATAATTCTTCATGTCCAGAATCCATTTGATTTATAGTTTGAAATTTACTGTCAATTCGTGGTTGTACACCAGTGAGAATATCTATCACTGTTTTGTTTTTTTTTTGATTTGGTACAGGAAATTTTCGTAAAAGAACCTGTTTAATATTAAGTGGAACTTTTTTACAATTTAAAGCTAAATGCGCATTCATATTCATATCAGATGCGCGTGGATTTTGTTCATTACAATATAAACACTCCCAACCTTTATGACCATCGGCTTGCAAATTAATTTCTCTAAAATGATTATTCCAAAGCATATTTTTTGGTCGACCTCTTTTTTTCTGATTTCTACTACTATGAATATTATGATTATCATGAGTATCTTGAGTATCATAAGTATCATAAGTAT